AAGCAGCAACGACTGAGCTGCTGTCCGTTCTTACTCTCCCAGTGGCTTGAAAAATTATTAATGGAAAGAGGGCCTTTCCTCCTATCTATTCTAAAAGAAGCAATAAACAGAAACAACTAAAAAGCTTTTCACAACTGCCAACATATCTGGTAGAATCTTCTAGGAAAAAAAAAAGACACTTAAAATTAGGAAACAGAGAGAGATGTAAACATATTTCTTCAAAGCATTCATTACTCCTAGAAATACCTGTTTACTAATTGCTTTCAAACATGTATACCTTTTATTTTTACCATTCAGTTTTATATCTCATAAAGCATGAAATAGATTTTCAGTCAGTGACAATAAATACTGAGATTACAAACACATTTGGGGAATATATTCTGCTATACCAATTACTACATCCAAGCACTGGTTCTCCGTGACATGTTTTGCCCCGATTCAAATAAAATCACAAGAGTGTCCTGAGAGATGTCTGCATAACAATGATAATGGAAGAAACACTTTTATTGTGACACAGGTCATTTTACTCCAATCTTTATATTTTTCAAATAATTTATTCATCAATATGTAATATTGTTCTGAACATGTTCAAACATGACTCACAGTATTGGATTTTTTTTTTAACCAGAATGATGTTCATGCGATTGAAACAGTGTCGGTTATAGAATGAGATGTTTGATAACCCGGCGGTACACTGCTAGTTCTTGGATAGTGATTTGACCGCGACTGTCTCTCACGTCTACTTCCCTGATTACATTGGACCCTCACGTCATTTCATGTCAGGCATATGAAAGATTCCACATAAAGATGTCAAAACATGCCGAAAACCTGAAAGAACCCTCAGACTACATGAGATATGAAGGGAGGAAGAAAAAACAAAAGGAAAAAAGAAAGAAAACCCTCACTGTTGTTGCTCTAAGCCAGCAGAAACCCTCCTGTACTACATATGCTAAGAAGAGATTCATGGAATTGGATCATAAATCAGTTTTATATTTATTCCAAGAGCCACCATCTATCATACATACCCATAATCTTGGATCAACTATTAATAACTGGCTTAAATTCCCAAGCCTCCACTTAACCACTTTGCCATTTAGCTTTCCTCACTAAGGGCAGAAAATGCCACTAGTGTCAGAGTTGAAATTATAAATTATAATTGTCTCAAGAACTAAAAATGGTATTCCAACACTTTCAAATTAATTCTCTTCTGGATGTAATACAGAAACATTTCCTCCAGTCTCTCGCCTCTCCTCTCTCCCTAGCTCTTCCTCCCTCCTGAGATGTTACTGAAAAATGAGATGTTTTATACCCTGGTTAATATTTACAAGTTTTCCTATCAAAGAGGCAAGAGAAGAGGGAGGTGCCATGGACCAACTCTGAATAAATCCACCTTAATTCACTCAAGCTAAGAAAGCATGACCTGACTTGAAGAGGGACCAACACCGTTACCTCTGAATCTGACCATAAATTGAAAACTAAAATATGGAAAAGGAGGAGGAAAGAAAGCAGTTCTCACTAGGAAAGATATCGAGTAAAAGATAAGCATCAAGCTGCCCTCTCAGTGATATCTTAGGGCATGTTTATGTTTTTGAGGTATTTGCAGAGATCATTGAATAAATGCTTCTGGTTACATATATGACAATAATTTTTTTAAAAACTAGGTGTTCCCTAATTGACTTACAACAGAATAGACTATATAAAGCAAGGGATATTTGGGATGAACTTAAAAGGATTTCAAACCTCATGTGTGGCTTTCTGAGTACAAACCTGTGGAAGTCTGAGTAACCTGCCTTGGGCCTGGGAGGAAATGGGAATTTCCCAGCTTTGTGCCGCCATCACAGCCCAAGCATAAGACACAAACACAGCTTTGCTCAGCCTATGAAAGAACTTTTTTTGACTATACTACCTATTAATGATTAGCCATAATTTTCAGTGAGAAGTCACTCAGAATCCTGATGGGAGTGTTTCAGGTTTCAACCCCTCTAAGTGATATCAAGAATATATGTGTATGCAGCTAAATATAACATTCCTCAAAAGTAAAGAGTCACATGAGATGAACATGGAAATGTAGGCCACAGTTAATTTATGTTGTCTTATTTTTACAATTTGGACCCCTGACCCAGCCCTGACTCTGACACCTTACCCACTCTGCTGCCACCTTCTCTCTGTATCTCACGGTTCAGTGGTGCCGCCACCTGGATCTAGAAGAACATCATCAGCCTTCTCGACACAGTCCTTGCCTTCACGATCCTTCCCTGCTCTGTGGCTGACAGATCTAAGATTTCAGCTGACGGTATGAGCTTGGGTTTTGATATTGCTAGCAGATGTCACCAGTGTGATGGGTGGTTGAATCATAAAACCTACTATTTGACACAGTCAAGGAACAGGTGGTCTGGCTATCACACGTTCTGCTTGTAGTTGGAGCTATATATGCCAACAATAGATCACCAAAGATTCAAAGAACGAAAGTAAGATTCACTTAATGACAATAGGTTATACTCCAAAATTATATTATTGGCTTTGTTTTATTTTCTGTCTCCTCCACGTACAGCAGAAGCTTCTGCCCTGAGAATCTGTCAGTTTTGTTTATTGACACCTAACACACAGGAGATACTCTGCATTTGTTGTATAAATGAACTGTAAAATAAATATCAATCTTTTTTTTTCAGAAGGTACTTTAGAATTATACATCTTCTTGGGATTATGTATGCACAAGCATAGCCATTAAAAAAAGTTCTGATTAACAGGTCACTAGATAATGAGATAAGTGATTGAGGGTGGTTTGTGAACTTTAAATAGTGAACACGTTGACCGAGTATCTCATTCATACTCTGCACTTCATTGCAAGGACAGGCAAATGAAATGAAGTATGGTATGTGGACTAATCTCTTCCTTGGAGAATCCAGTCCTCCTCCTGTAAAAGAAGCCACACTGAAAACTATCCATCCTTTTGAGTACTAAATGGCTCTCTGAAACTTGCCCCTGGCACACTAAAGTCAGCGGCAAAGGAGAGCAGAAATCAAGCTCTGAGGTTTCAGTTGAGGGATTGGACCCACAGAGCTGCGAAACACATGGTAAGGTTTTAGAGAGCAAGGACAGTCCTCAATATCAATGTCTCCATTTAATAATTTTCCTCTAAGGGAAACACCTATAGAAAACGGTTTAAGATATACTCAGGTACAACTTACCAAGGGATCAAGCACCACCACCAATTGTGGAGCAAGCGGGTTACCAGGAGTCTCCTGATACCCTCAGCATCACCCTTAACATTTTCTTGCCCAAAATGTTTGATTGATCTAATTAAGATTTTAGCCCTAACTTCTATTTACAGGAAACCTGGGGTAAAGGTGTAAAAGAAGACATCATGAGAACAACTCATATAAATCTTGAACTTGGGGGAAATTGACCTGATCTTTTAAATAAGTCAATGCCAAGGGGAGAAAGGAAAGGGAGAAAGGTAGAGGAAAAACAAGAGAGGCAGAGAGAGGAAAGAGATTTAGATGTAACAATCAAATATGATGCACGCTTTTTTCTGGAGCCTGGTTTGAAAAAAAAATAGCTTATAAAAGATATTTTAAGATCAATTGAAAAAAATTGAAATATAGACTGGGTATTAAATGATATTAGGATATTATCATTAGTTTTGTAGAGACTAGCATTATGGGTATGTAGCAGGATACTCTAATTTGGGAGGAATACATGCTGAATACTGAGGATGAAATACATGATGTTTATCATTCACATTAAAGAGCTCAGAACAAAACAAAGTGAAGACAGCTGGAGGTTAAAGATTGCTGAGCTAAGTGGGGTGCGCCCGTGCCCCCTGCACTCTTCTTTGCAAATTTTGTTTGAAAATACTTTTAATAAATTTAATGTTCCTAGGCAGCAACTTCTCAAGAACTTGCTTCACAGCACTGAGGGCTCCTAATTAAAATACATTTTTAAATACTTCCACAAACCACCCTCTATCAAGCAATTTGAGCAAGTCGTCCCAGACAAAAGAGGCGACGGAGCCTCGTGGCAGGTAGGAGTCTTTTTTTTTTTTTTTTCTCCTTACACCAGTTTTCCAAATTCCCTTTTTGAAAAAGACTTTTCAGTTTACCTTTTAAAATGAAAGATCCACGAAATGGCTTATTTGCCTCAAGCCTGGTCCCTTTTAATTGACGGAAAAACCTCTCCACACACACCTCATGCAAACCGACTTTTGCTTTTCCTTCCTAAAACTAGCTTTTGTCTCTGAACTTTACAGAGCCGTGGGAGATCTTTAATATTTTCTAAGAGAAACATTTCAAACAAGTAACCCTGCAATTTATTCACTAGTGCCAAGAATAAAAGTAACAGGTTTCACCACCAAGGCCTTCCAAGGCTTTGCCTGACTTTCAAGGCCAGCGTCACTCATTCACCTGCAGCTGAGCCCCCCTAATGCATCCATCATTTGTTTGGCTCTGGGGGAAACTATTTGATTACACAAAATTCTTTTTAGATCAAGTTTAAAATCTTAGCCACACTGGGACAAGTGGCAAAGCCTGCCGGCTCAACGGGTTAACTCTTGGACATACTGAGCCCTGGACAAAGACAAGGAGCAGCCACAGGTTAAAATCAGAAGCTAAAAGAACTGAAAAGGAATGAGTGTCAGAGATGCAAAGCTTAGCTGGGCCTTTATAAGTGCTTTATTTGCCAAGACGGCATGTAAGATGATTTATTCCCCCTACTCCTTGTAAATGAGCACCGCGCCCTGAGATATACCAGGAAGCATCAGTAAATGCAAAAGCTACCAGGACACATGGCATCCCCCCACTGCTGAGGCACCTATGCATCCTCAAGTTGGCAAGTAACCAGACATCTTTATGTACCTCCATTCCGCATACCTTATTATAGGGCACATCATTTTTAAAAGCATTTTAAATGAAGCAGATGTTAACCCCATTCATTCCACTTTCCCGGGGGAACATGTCAATAATAATTTTTAAAATGCAAAAGAAAATGTCAAAGTATTTTGTTCCCTGGTTAAGAATACATCTGTAGAATAGGAGGGAGAAAATACATAAAAACGCTCTATGGTCATTCAAGAAATAATTATAAGGTATGTCAAACTACAGAAAATTGAGCAAGCACTAAATTAAAAAAAAAGATGTCTTGTGTCAAAATGGCTTTTTCATTCACTCATTTCAAAAACAAGTTTTGAAAATTAAATTCCATCTACCAGCTCAGAACAGAACACATTAAGGCCTGACTGTAATGCCATTATCCATGTGGCAACTCCCGTTCTCATCTGAAACTGTATTAATTGACAAAGAAGCCTTGGGGCTCACCTCCCATAGTGCCTTGAAGTCCTTCTGCTCGATGCGGAGCAATTCGCTGCTCTCCCTGGTAACGATGGTCGCATGGCGGGGCGTGTTGTCCAAAATGGACTCTCCAAAGGCTGTCCCAATCCCCAGGGTGCAGATGGTCACCGCATCCTGAGAATCACCAAAAACGGTCATTAGAAAATTCAACATTTAGCAGATGAGCGAGTGAGTTGTCTTTTCTTTGAATTTAAATATAATTTGTACAAAATAAAACACCCAACTTCATTGTACCATTCACTGCACATTTTGGCAAATGCCTACACTGGCATGCTCCCCACCCAAATCAAGACCCAAAAGTTCTCCTGTTACCCCTTTCCAGTTGAGATCCTTATATCAGAGGAAATCACTGACCTGATTTCTATTAACCTGAAGGAGTTCTGCTTGTTGCAGAACTTCAAGTAAAAGGAGACAAATAATTGCTGTTGTCTATGTCTGACTTTTGTTCAATATAATGTCTATAAGATTTGTGCATGTTCTTGCATGGATCGATAGTTCTTTCTTCTTATTAGTAAATAGTTTCCCATTGTGTGGGCATGTCACTGTTTGCCTATCTATTCTCCTATTGCGCATTTGGGTTGTTTCTAGTTTGGTGTTATGATAAGTAAAGCTGCTAGCAATAGTCTTGCTATCTTCTGCAACTTCTATCTGCTTTAAGAAAAGGACAGAAACCCAGTGAAGATGAACTCGGCCTTCTCAGTGAAAGGATGCCTTTATAATGTTTAAATAGGAAACTGGAACAGGGATGACACTGTGTCTGTCTGTCTTGAAGAGATGAGGAAACTGAGGGTCTCAGTGGTGGGTTCACAGGGCCCCAGCTCACACAGTAAATAAGCAGTACAGCCAGATTCTAACAACGTCTGACTATAGATAACAAGCTTTTTGTATCATGCTGCCTCCTGCAGCCACGACAGAGTAAAAACAGTATCTGAAATACTGTGGCTAGTTCACAAACTGCATGAATCAATGATTCAGAAGTTTCATAAGGAGTACTAAAAAAGAAATTTCCTCCCTACATGCAACATTGGTGATAATGTTTGGAATTAATCCTAACTAGTTTCAAATAATGCAAATAGCCACTCAAAATCATCTGGACATTAATTTTGCAAGGCATTATAAATTAAGGAAGATACACAAGGGTGATCCTCTGAGTTAGAAGGAACAGTTTTCCTTTCATGCATCTGATACACGATAATAGGTAAATGATATTAAGATCAAGTTAGTGCCTCTGTAATCACATCTCTAAGACAAATGCCCATAAGAATCCAGTTTCTTGAACCATGGAAAATTGCTACTACACAGATATTAGCATATGAAATTAGGTTCGGGAAAATAAAATCAATAATATTTCAGAAAAGAATAAAAGATCAGGGGAAGTTTTAAGAATAGGCTGCTAATATACTTTCCAGACAGACAATTGCAAATAAATTCACTCAGAAAAACAGGCCCAGAACTGAAACATCAATACTCAGTAAGTTGGGTATGTCTGAGTAATTTTCAAATTCTAGTAAGAACACAAGTAGATTATGATAAGTCGCAGGCTTTCACAGATTTTCTAGAATAGCAGGTTCCCTGGAGGCTCCCACTAAATCGTTCATTTTACTACAAACTGAACCCTTCAGAAAAAATTCTTTTGGCCTAATTTGTACTTTCCAGCATTAAATTCTACATTAAAACTTGAGAGGGTTAGATCATAAGTATTACTGCTGCTATGATTCACATAGCTTAGATTTCTAAGGTTATTAGCAAAGTATAAGGCAAAAGAGAGATGACAATCTCAGTTCTTCGTGAGCTAGTTGTAGAGTGGATGGATCAACCAGTCTTCTCTTTTCCTACCTCTCATCCCTGATACATGTAGTTTGTCACCAAATGCTACACAAAGAAAGACATGCTAGGAAACTCACACCAGCCTATATCGCTACCATGAGTGCAGAAAATGGAATTATTCTGGGAATTTCTCCGAAGGGCTGAACTTACCCAGACTTTATCATGTATAACAAAATTTACTCATGACAGCATTTCCAACTGCACCGCTTATAGCATTTCATCATGTCCCAGCCTCCTCCGTAAGGAACAAGAGGCCCACGCCCATGGGGACATAGCCACAGTGGGTCATTTGCTCAGGAACCCAAGCTCTCCTACCAGAACTGAGTGTGCAGTCAGTCTTTCCCTGTCTCCTCCTTCACACTCAATCCACTCAAATTTAAGCATAGGGAGCCACAGATTACAAGATATGGTCTAGGACTGGGGGTGCAGCTCAGTGGTAGAGCACTTGCCTAACATAGGAGAGGCCCTGGGTTCGCTCTTGGGTCCTGCTAAACAAACAACCAACAACAAAACAAATATATGATATGATCTTGAAATGAGGATGGAAAAACCTCTCCAAAAAGATATGTTATTTGCAAATTCAAACTTAACAGTGGTTTCAGAGCACGTTTAGGACAAATTTACTTAGAAACCAGAATGGATTGGGGATGTGTGGGTTGGGCACTGGGACAAGTGGCCACAGGGAAAAGCTGAAAGAGCTAGGAAACATTTTCACTCTAAAGATTAGCGACTGTCCTTGTAGTCCATGGCTGCTTGGTGCTATTTACAATGCAGTCCCACGCAGGGTCTTGCATGTGCTTTAGAAAGAAATTATCAAACAAAGATATTCACATTCGAATGTTCTCTCATTTAGCAGAACTAGTGTACGTTGCTCAGTACGCAGGCTGGAAGGCAGGACACACGTGAGCAGGATGAAGGGAGCCTGGGTGGAAGGAGCACTCCTCTCGTGTGCACGCTGAACAATCCCTACAGGTCAGAATCTGCAGGTGTGCTTGATGCCTGCCCTCGCCTGTGGCTGAAAGGATCTGTGGCTGAATGTAGCCGGGTGACTTCTTTTAAGCTTACACATACTCCAGAGGTCTGCTCACATCTCAATACTTATTTAATAGGGACTATTCAGCAGAACATTTGTATTTTCTGCTCGTGTGTGGATTAATGTTCAGAGAGACCATCTGAAAGAAAATGTTTTCAGTGACACCAAAGAAAGCAACCAGCGCCAACCCAGGGAATCTGGAACAGCAGTGCGGGGATGTTCTATCTTGCAAGGTGGTGATTTATTTTTCAGGACTTTCAAATGGGAAGTGGAAATTTTAAAATCTGAATATTCAAGGTTGACGGTGGATTTCACAGACGCTGCCATCCCCCAACTCCACCCCAGAAGTCGTTGGTAGCTTTCTGGACAGTTCCATACATGCCTACAGGGTCCCGCCTTGAAAGTCTACTTCACAGCTCTGCCTGAGGGCAGAGTGCCAGCCAGCCAGCACCTGGAAGGGGCGCCCTCTTGCACAGAGGCAAGGCAGTGGGGGTTAACCCCGCAGCTTCCCTGCCCTGCTGAGTTCTTCGCAGGTCCCCTGAAGGAGCAAACCACTGACCACTGAGGAAACACGCTTATAACACACCCCTGGCTTTCCTTCCTTCCTTGTACACTGCCCCCAATCCCTTGCCACACCCCCTGTCTCCAAAAAAACGACATTCAGCTCAATCCTGGTCTCCAAAGCTGCTTCTGGGAAACCTCAAATAAGAGGATAGTTAGCCAAGATGGCTGTGGGTCCAAAATTGCACTGAGACCTCGGGGAAGGTGCTGAACCAAACCAGCATTCTCAGAGAGATTTCTGTGACAGGGACTGAGACCAGAGTACCATTTACTGCCTTCATCAGACACAGCCTAAGTGCAGCCTCCCTCAGGGGACACATGGGAAGGCTTCATTGTAGCAGGGAAACAAGTTTGGCCTCCCAAGTTCAATTCCACTATAGAACTAGGAGTGATGGGTTTTCAAAAAAAAAAAAAATGGCCTATAACATGTCATTCACATGTCATTTGGTTTCTTCCTCTGGTCTGATCCAGCTATCCTTAACTCTGTCCACTTGATCACTCCTTATCCTCCCTCCAAAATCACAGACCTCCTTCCTTAATCACCCGCTGATGCTTCATGGTACTCGTCCTGCCGTGCAGCATGCACAGGTCCTGCATGCATACAAGTGGAATGCGGTGCCATGTATCTTGACCATGGTGCCTCTTTACTCCTCAAGATAGTTAAGTGAGCTCCTGTATTTAAACTGTTTTGCACAGTACCTGGCCCAAAATAAATGCTTAATAAGTTGTGGACCTTCTTACTGGCAATCCGGGTTGGGCATCCCTTATCTGAAATGCTTGGGGCCAGAGTGATGCAGATTTCCTATTTCTTCAGGTTCTGAAATATGTGCATACATCATAAGCAGACTGGGGATTGGGGGCCAAATCTAAACAAAGAACTCATTTCTGTTTCATACATGCATTGAATATATAGGCTGAAAGTAATTTTACACAATAGAATTGATAATTTTGCGCATGAAACAAAGTTTATAAACACTGAACCACATACTGACTGCAAACTGTCTCACAAGGTCAGTAGTAGAATCCCAATTCCTAAATGTCCCAAATTCTGAAACATTTTAGGATTTGGATTCTAGATGCTCAACCTGTACTCTTAAGAAAATCCTGCAGTGTCAGTATTAGTTTTGCTGTTTTATAGGTTAGGCAAAATCAGACTCTAGGATGTTCAATAACTTGCCCAAGACCAGGCCCAGTAAGAAAAGGAGCAAAGACCAGCAACTAGTCAGTCCCCTCACTTTACCCACATACTTCTCAGTCTGCCAAGGCTCAGAGGGAACATCAGCGTTAATTTTATACATAGGTTCTTTGCTCAATCACCAACCTATCTGTTCAATGAAAAATCACCAGGGAAATAGGAAACATTTAGCACTGTTCTCCTTAATCCTCCAATCCCAGTATTGGGTCCATTTGACCCTCCCAGAGGATAAAAGCCTTCCCAGGTTGGGGCACCAATCTCTAACCATTAGGAGAAATTAAAGTAGTCATAAGTGGGGAACTAAGTACAGAACCCACATTTCAGCTTTTCCAACTCTGATTAAGTGACCCAGTTGGAATAATGAGTTCCTTCCTGAGCAGGAAACACTGGTTTCTTTCCTTCTGAGTCTCAGCCTTAGTAACCTGGTACTCCCAATCCATCCCAAAGTGGGAGTTCTGACAGCCTTGCTGGACCCAGTTCCTCTCTGGATCCCTCCAT